GTATGCCCGGAATCGAATTCCGAGGTCCCTAGCCCGAGTAATGAATTTTTATGTGAAATTGTTAAGTTAAAGTTTCAAAGGTTTAAATAAAGTAAGAAATCATTGTTTTCCTAGGTATCGGGTTCGGATTTCGATTCCGAAACTTGGTACAAGTCTGAAATATCAGTTAAGACTTACACGTAAAATTTGGTGTCAATCTGAGTAGTTTAAGGGCGTTTTGACCCGTTGGAGGAGAATTAAGAACTTGAAGTTCAATGATTTGATTCATTTGGTTTTGGGGTTGATTCCTCGATTTAGCGTTGTTTTGAGTGTTTCGAGGGTTCGAGTAGGTCCGCGTCATGATTTCATACTTGTCGGTATGTTCGGGCGGGGCACGGGAGCCCTGAGCGTCAAACGAGCGAGGCTCGAGTGAAGTTAGAATTCGGAAAATGACTGAAGCTTGCTGCTTCTGTCATAACCGCATCTGCGGTTCTTGGACCGCAGAAGCGGGACCGCAGATGCGGTCATTAGATCGCAGAAGCGGAGAAGGGGCAGGCCAGGGGAAACCGCAAAAGCGGCCCAGGGACCGCAGAAGCGGTTCCGCCTATGCGGCCCCCAGACCGCAGAAGCGGTCGAGCCCCAAATCCCAAAAGCCGCAGAAGCGGCCAAATTCCGCAGAAGCGGATTCCGCAGAAGCGGAAATACTTTCGCAGATGCGAAAATAACTGGGGGCAGAAGGGTTCATTTAATACGAACTCAAACTCATTTCTCTCATTTTTCACTCTACACTTAGGCGATTGGGTTCTTCCAAGAGAGGGTTTCCACATAACTTGGTAAGGTAAGTAATTTCCCTTCATCCTTAGCTTAAATACATGTATATTAGGTAGATTAAACACCAAAAAATTTAGTAAAAATCAAGAATTTGAGCTAGACCTAGGGTTTTAATAAAACTAAGAATTTATCATAAAAATTTGCCATGTAATGAACTAGAAATCATATATTTGTGATCCTTAGGTGATAGAGAACAACTTCCTTCGAAAAATCTCGGAATCCGGGCACGTGGGCCCGGGGTCGGAATTTAGGAAACTTGTATTAATGGTTAGAAAATTGCCTAAACAGTTAGAGTTCGACCTTGTAAGCCTTTATTTACTAGTTCTTTCTTCGTTTGATTAGTTTGGGATTGTTCGGCTTCAAATTAAGGACTTGGGCTCGTTCTTGGACATTGGAAGTGCACTTTGGAGCGAGGTGAGTCTCCTTTCTAACCTTGTAAGAGGGAATTGTCCCCATAGGATTATAAATGAGTAATTGCTGTTAAATGCGGGGGCTACGTACGTACAAGGTGACGAGAGTCCGTGCGTAGCTACTATAATGATAATTGTTCGGGTAGTTTAGGACCCACGTCATGTCTAATTGGGGAATATTTCTTGTTTTAAGTTGCCAATATGATCATTTATGATTTGCTAGAGACTTGAGGAAATGAAAAGTGAACTTATGAGTTTGTTGAGTCTTGGTAGGAATTCCCTTGTATGTAATTGAGCCTTATGTGCTTTCCTGATATTTTCTTGATGATTATGGACCGGACCGATCGCCTCGGTGAGAATAGATGCATCTATGGTTCGTGCCGCTCGACCCTCGGCAGTGCACAATTTATTTTCTGCTGGAGCGGGCCGCTGACCTCGGCATGATTGTGCATGATTTATATGTTTACATTTAGATATGACATGATCACTTGTTTAATATGAAAAAGGGAAAACTGGTAGTTTAATTATGTCAAGAACATGAATATGACTCTTCTCTTAAACTTATGTTATTGGAAATTCTTCATGCTGTATATCTCACCTTATTATTATATTATCTTGACCTTAGTAAGTATCAAGTCGACCTCTCGTCTCTACTTCTTCGAGATTAGACGGGATACTTACTGAGTACATGCGGTTTATGTACTCATACTACGCTTCTGTACTTAAATGTACAGGATTTGAGGCAGGTGGATCTGGACATCATCCTGGTGCGCATCAGTGAGCACGCTTGGGGACTTCTACGGTGCTGCTTCTCTTTCATGCCGATCCGCAGCCGAAGAAGTCCTTTCTTGTACTTTTTGTTTCTGTCTAATCTGATTCAGACAGTAGGATAGTGTATTATTCTTTTGTGTATATTCTACTAGTCGCCCGTAGCTTGTCGCACCAGGTTCTGGCACACACAGTAGTAGACAGTTATTTTGGGGTTGTATCACTATTTTAGCACTTTATGATCTTTACTGGTCTTATCTTTAAATTCGAAAATCTAGTATAACTGTCTTTGGCTAAAGTAAAATGAGAACTTAATCACATTCCGCATCGGCTGGCCTGACAACGGTGTTAGGCGTCATCATGACCTATTATGGAAATTGGGTCGTGACAACATGGTATCAGAGCGCTAGGTTCACGTAGGTCTCACAAGTTACGGGTAAACCTGATAGAGTCTTGTAGATCGGTACGGAGACGTCTGTATTTATCTTCGAGGGGCTATAGGGTGTTAGGAAAGACTACTCTTTATTCATTCTCCATCGTGCAGTGGTCAGTGTACTAAGTTTCCTCTTCTATTCTCTCACAGATGGTGAGGACTCGTACCGCCGACGTCCCGGACCCGGGAGGAGCTGCTCCCCCCGTTACTAGAGGCCGAGGTAGAGGCCGGGGGAGGGCACCGACCCGTGGTAGGGGACGAGGGCATCCCAGAGCTATTCCAGATGCACCACCAGCAGACCCTGCGAGGGATCCTATTATTGAGGAGCAGGGCGAGGCGCCCGCAGATGTGCCTACTCCGGTGGATTTCATGCCTGCGCCGGGATTTCAGGAGGTCATGGGCCGTATGCTTCGGTTCATGGACACTATGACTCAGGCTGGTTTATTTCCAGCAGATCCAGCTACCTCACAGGCAGGAGGGGGAGCACAGACCCCTACCGCACAGGCTCCAGGTCATGCAGCCGCAGTTTATCATACTCCGGGTGCACTACCCGCAGAGGGGGTCCAGCCAGTTGCTGCAGCGGCACCCCAGCCCAGGCCAGCTGTGGACGGCAATCCGCAGAAGTTATTAGATAGATGGACCAGGTTGCACCCTCCAGTCTTCGGGGGCGAGCGTCATGAGGATGCCCAGGATTTCATTGACAGGTGTAGGGATAGACTGCACAACATGAGGATCTTGGAGTCACATGGAGTCGACTTCACTACTTTTCAGCTGGAGGGCAGGGCCCGTAGATGGTGGCAGTCTTATTTACTTAGCAGGCCAGCAGGCGCTCCTCCCCTCACTTGGGGTCAGTTCACTCAGTTGTTCCTTGATCGATACATTCCCCCCTCTGAGAGGGAAGAGTTGCGTCATCAGTTTGAGTATCTGGAGCAGGGTCATATGTCAGTGACCGACTATGAGGCGAGGTTCTCTGAGTTGTCTCGCCATGNAGCAGGGTCGATATGTCAGTGACCGACTATGAGGCGAGGTTCGTCTGAGTTGTCTCGCCATGCACTCATGATACTTCCCACAGAGGCAGAGAGAGTACGGAGGTTTGTTGCAGGGTTACATCCCACTATCCGGTTGGGTATGGCTCGTGAGGTAGAGATGGGCACTGGATATCAGCTAGTACTTGAGATTGCCCGCCGGATTGAGGGCTACCGTTTGAGGGGTAGAGAGCAGATGCAGTAGGACAAGAGGGCCAGATTCTCAGGAGAGTTCAGAGGTGCCCCAGCCAGGGGCAGAGGTCATTTTGGGAGGGGTCAGCCTAGCAGGCCCCCAGCTCCAGCACCACCACCGGCTCGAGGTGCTCCAGCGCGCTCCTATTTCAGCCCCATGCTAGAGAGTTCTTATCGCCCGCCAGCTATTCAGGGTTCATCCAGTGGGTATTCAGGTCCTCCGGAGTCTTCCGGTCCTTATTTCAGTGCTATGCTGGAGAGTTCTTACCGCCCGCCAGCCACTCAGGCTTCTTCTAGTGGGCCTTCTAGTATTCAGGGTCAGCCATACGGAAAGCAGGCCGCTGCACCACGCTGTTTTGGTGCGGGGACGCAGGCCACATGAGGAGATACTGCCCCAGGCTTAGGGGCAAGGTAGTACAGCAGGGGCAGCAGCCCATGACTCCAGCACCAGCGGTCCAGCCGCCTAGAGGTGGAGAGCAGACTGGTAGAGGTCGTTCCAGGGGTAGAGGACAGATAGGGAGAGGTCAGCCAGCTACTACTCAGTCAGTTGGAGGCCAGACAGCCGGTGCTCCAGCTAGATTCTATGCTCTCCCAGCCAGGCCAGATGCATTGGCCTCAGATGCCGTCATCACAGGTATTATTTCCGTCAGCGGTAGAGATGCATCGGTATTATTTAATCCAGAGTCTACTTATTCATATGTATCATCTCTGTTTGCTCGTTTCCTAGCTATTTCTCCTGAGCCTTTGGGTGTTCCTGTTCATGTGTCCACTCCTGTGGGCGATTCTGTGGTTGTGAACCGGGTCTACCGATCTTGTGTGGTTACTTTCTGTGGTCTTGAGACTAGAGCAGATCTCCTGTTGCTCGATATGATCGATTTTGAGGTTATTCTGGGCATGGATTGGTTATCTCCATATCACGCCGTTCTAGATTGCCATGCCAAGACTGTTTCTCTAGCGATGCCAGGGTTGCCGAGATTGGAGTGGAGGGGTTCCACTGTGGATACACCTAGCAGGGTCATTTCCTTCCTGAAGGCTCAACACATGGTTGAGAAGGGGTATTTGGCCTACTTAGCTTATGTTAAAGACACCACCGCAGAGTCTCCGACGATTAATTCAGTGCCAGTAGTCCGAGAGTTCGCCGATGTTTTTCCTTCTGATCTTCCTGGCATGCCTCCGGATCGTGATATTGATTTCTGTATTGATTTGGCTCCAGGCACTCAGCCTATATCTATCCCGCCGTACCGCATGGCTCCTAGGGAGCTGAAGGAGCAGTTGGAGGAGTTGCTAGCAAAGGGGTTTGTTAGGCCCAGTGTATCGCCTTGGGGTGCACCAGTGCTATTTGTAAAGAAGAAGGATGGGACTATGCGGATGTGCATTGATTACCGCCAGTTGAACAAAGTCACCATCAAGAACAAGTATCCATTGCCCCGTATTGATGATTTGTTTGACCAGCTGCAGGGTGCTAGGGTGTTCTCTAAAATTTACCTGAGGTCAGGGTATCATCAGCTGAAGATTCGGGATTCAGATGTCCCGGAGACCGCATTCAGAACTAGATATGGCCACTATGAGTTCCTGGTGATGTCATTTGGCTTGACTAATGCTCCAGCGGCATTTATGGACTTGATGAACAGGGTGTTCAGGCCCTATATTGATTCCTTTGTTATCGTCTTCATTGACGATATCTTGATATACTCGCATAGCCTGGGGGAGCACGAGCAGCATTTGAGAGTAGTGCTTCAGACCTTGCGAGAGCAGAAGCTTTATGCTAAGTTCTCCAAGTGCGAGTTTTGGCTAGATTTAGTAGCATTCTTGGGGCATGTAGTGTCAGGAGAGGGTTAAAGTGGACCCCAAGAAGATTGAGGCAGTTCAGAGTTGGCCACGTCCTACTTCAGTGACCGAGATCGGGAGTTTCTTGGGGTTAGCAGGTTATTACCGGCGATTTGTGCAGGGCTTCTCATCTATTGCATCACCTCTGACCAGATTGACCCAAAAGGGTGCTCCATTCTGTTGGTCCGACGATTGTGAGGAGAGCTTCCAGGAGCTCAAGACAGCCTTGACCACGGCACCAGTTCTTGTATTGCCTTCCAATTCAGGGATGTATACAGTGTATTGCGACGCTTCTCGCGTTGGCTTGGGATGTGTATTGATGCAGGAGGGGCGAGTTATTGCATATGCTTCACGTCAGCTGAAGGTTCATGAGAAAAATTACCCTGTGCACGATCTAGAGTTGGCGGCGATTGTTCATGCTCTTAAGATATGGAGGCATTATTTATATGGAGCGTCATGTGAGGTCTATACAGACCATCGCAGCTTGCAGCATTTGTTCAAGCAGAGGGATCTTAATTTGAGGCAGTCCAGGTGGCTTGAGCTACTAAAGGATTATGACATTACCATTCTTTATCATCCAGGCAAGGCAAATGTGGTTGTGGATGCCTTGAGTAGGAAGGCGGAGAGTATGGGTAGCTTGGCATTCATTCCTGCTGAGATGAGACCATTAGCTTTGGACGTTCAGTCTTTAGCTAACAGACTTGTGAGATTGGATATTTCAGAGCCCAGCCAGGTACTAGCATGTGTGGTTGCTCAGTCTTTGTTGTTGGGGGAGATTAAGGCCCGACAGCTCGATGATCCACATTTGGCAGTTCTCAGAGAGACGGTACTTCAGGGAGGTGCCAAGGAGATTTCTATTGACGAGGATGGTGTGCTATGGCTTCAGGGCCGTGTATGTGTTCCTAATGTTGATGGCTTGAGAGAGAGGATTCTAGAGGAGGCCCATAGTTCGAGTTACTCCATTCATTCAGGTGCCACGAAGATGTATCGTGACTTAAGGCAGCATTACTGGTGGCGGAGGATGAAGAAGGACATTGTGGAGTATGCAGCTAAATGTTTGAATTGCCAGCAGGTCAAACATGAGCACCAGAGGCCAGGTGGCCTACTTCAGCGGATGCCCATTCCGGAATGGAAGTGGGAGCGCATCGCTACGGATTTCGTGGTTGGGTTGCCGCGGACTCAGCGGAAGGTTGATTCAATGTGAGTTATTGTGGATAGATTGACCAAGTCCGCCCACTTCATTCCAGTGGCGACTACTTATACGGCAGAGAGGTATGCTCAGATTTACATTCGGGAGATAGTGAGATTGCACGGTGTGCCGGTCTCCATCATATCAGACAGAGGCCCTCAGTTCACTTCCCATTTCTGGAGAGCTGTTCAGAGTGAGTTAGGGACCCGCGTGGATCTTAGCACGACATTCCATCCTCAGACCGATGGGCAGTCGGAGCGGACAGTTCAAATTTTAGAGGATATGCTTAGAGCATGCGTGATTGACTTTGGAGGGCAGTGGGATCAGTTCTTACCCTTGGCGGAGTTCGCATATAATAACAGCTATCAGTCCAGCATAGAGATGGCCCCGTATGAGGCATTATATAGTCGGCGTTGTCGTTCTCCGATCGGGTGGTTTGAGCCTGGTGAGGCTAAGTTGCTTGGTACAGATTTGGTTCAGGATGCCTTGGATAAGGTAAAGTTGATTCAGGAGAGGCTCCGCACAGCTCGGTCCAGGAAGAAGAGTTATGCGGATCAGAAGGCGCGCGATGTATCATTTATGATTGGCGAGAAGGTTCTCTTGAAGGTTTCGCCCATGAAGGGCATTATGAGGTTCGGAAAGAAGGGCAAGTTGAGCCTAAGGTTTATTGGCCCCTTCGAGGTGTTGAGGCAAGTTGGAGAGGTTGCCTATGAGCTTGCCTTGCCTCCCAGTTTATCAGGAGTTCATCCAGTCTTCCATGTATCGATGCTCCGGAAGTATCATACCGACTATTCACACGTGTTGGATTTCAGTACCATTCGGTTAGATGAGAGCTTGGGCTACGAGGAGGAGCCAGTTGCCATTGTGGATAGACAGGATCGCCAGTTGAGGTCCAAGAGGATTTCTGCGGTAAGAGTCCAGTGGAGGGGCTAACCGGTCGAGGAGGCGACCTGGGAGTCCGAGGAGGACATGTGGAGCCGATATCCCCACTTGTTCAGCAGTCCAGGTACTTTTCTATGTCTGTTCGAGGACGAACGTTTGTTTAAGAGGTGGAGAATGTAACGACCCGACTGGTCGTTCTGCATTTTTGAACCTCGTTCCCTTAAATAATACTTTCCGCACTTGCTTTAGCTAATTTATGACTTGTGGGGACGGGTGGTTCGGAAGTTAGAAGAGTTTTGAGCAAGAATAAGCCTAGTTGCTTCTTTAAGTTTCTTTAAAAAGGCCAAGTTTGACTTCGGTCAACATTTTGGGGAAACGGACCCGGAATCGTGATTTGACAATTTCTGAGGGTCCGTGGTGAAATATGGGAACTGGGCGTATGCCCGGAATCGAATACCGAGGTCCCTAGCCCGAGAAATGAATTTTTATATGAAATTGTTAAGTTTAAGTTTCTAAGATTTAAATAAACTAAAAAATTATTGTTTTCCTAGGTATCGGGTTTGAATTTCGATTCCGAAAATTGGTACGTCCGAAATATCAGTTAAGACTTACCTGTAAAATTTGGTGTCAATCCGAGTGGTTTAAGGGCATTTTGACCCGTTAGGAGGAAATTTAGAACTTGAAGGTTCAATGATTTGAATCATTTGGTTTTGGGGTTGATTCCCTGATTTAGCGTTGTTTTAAGCGTTTCGAGGGCTCGAGTAGGTCCGCCTCGTGATTTCAGACTTGTCGATATGTTCGGGCGGGGCTCGGGAGCCTCGAGCGTCAAATGGTCGAGGTTCGAATAAGTTGAAAACTTAGGAAAAACCTTATATGCTGCTTCTGTCATAACCACTTCTGCGGCTCTTGGACCGCAGAAGCGAGATCGCAGAAGCGGTCATTTTATAGCAGAAGCGGAAGGGGCCAGGCCCAGGGGAAACCACAGGAGCGGACCCCTGACCGCAGAAGCGGTCCATCCGCCCAGGCCCAGAACCACAGAAGCAGTGGGCTTTCCGCTTAAGCGGCCTTGCAGAAGCGAGGTTATGATCGCAGAAGCGGCCCAGGCCCCCTTGCCCGTTTCCGCAAAAGCGGCTCATGTCCGCAGAAGCGGGATTCCTTCCGCAGAAGCGGAAATCACTGGGGGCAGAAGGGTTCATTAATACGAACCCAAACTCATTTCTTCCATATTACACTCAACACTTAGGCGATTTTGGTGATTCCAAAGAGGAGGTTTCAACATAACATTGCAAGGTAAGTAATCCCCACTCATTTTTAGTTCAAATACATAAACATTAGGTAGATTTAACACTAAAAAATTAGGTAAAATCAAGGGATTTTGGCTAGACCTAGGGTTTAATGAAAACTAAGGTTTTATCACATAATTTGCCATGTAGTGAACTAGAAATCATATATTTGTGATCCTTAGGTGATAGAGAACAACTTCCTTCGAAAAATCTCGGAATCCGGGCACGTGGGCCCGGGGTCGGAATTTAGGAAACTTGTGTTAATGGTTAGGAAATTGCTTAAATGGCTAGAATTCAACCTTGTAAGCCTTTATTTACTAGTTCTTACTTCGTTTGATTAGTTTGGGATTGTCCGGCTTCGAATTAAGGACTTGGGCTTGTTCTTGGACATTGGGAGTGCACTTTGGAGCGAGGTGAGTCTCCTTTCTAACCTTGTAAGGGGGAATTGTCCCCATAGAATTTTAAATGAGTAATTGTTGCTAAATGTGGGGGCTACGTACGTACTAGGTGAAGAGAGTCTGTGCGTAGCTACTATATGATAATTGTTCGGGTAGTTTAGGACCCGATATCTCTTATTTTAAATTGCCAATATGATCATTTTGATTTGCTAGAGACTTGAGGAAATGAAAGGTGAACGTATGAGTTGTTGAGCCTTGGTAGGAATTTCCTTGTATGTAATTGAGCCTTATGTGCTTTTCTTGATATTTTCTTGATGATTATGGATCGGGCCGATCGCCTCGGTGATAATAGATGCATCTATGGTTCATGCCGCTCGACCCTCGGCAGTGCACAATTTATTTTCTGTTGGAGCGGGCCGTCGACCTCGGCATGTTTGTGCATGATTTATATGCTTACATTTAGTTATGACATGATTACTCATTTGATATGAAAAAGGGAAAACTGGTAATTTAATTATGACAAGAACATGAATATGACTCTTCTATTAAACGTGTGTTATTGGAGATCCTTCATGCTGTATATCTCACTTTATTATATTATATTATCTTGACCTTAGTAAGTATCAAGTCGACCTCTCGTCTCTACTTCTTCGAGATTAGACGGGATACTTACTGAGTACATGTGGTTTATGTACTCATGCTACACTTCTGTACTTAATTGTACAGGATTTGAGGCAGGTGGATCTGGACATCATCCTGGTGCGCATCAGTGAGCACGCTTAGGGACTTCTACGGTGAGCTGCCTTCTCTCTCATGCCGATCCGCAGCCGAAGGAGTCCTTTCTTGTATTTTTGATTTATGTCTATCCTGATTCAGACAGTAGGATAGTGTTTCATTCTTTTTGTGTATATTCTACTGGTCGCCCGTAGCTTGTGACACCAGGTCCTGGCACACACTGTAGTAGACATTCATTTTTGGGGGTTGTATCGCTATTTTGGCACTTTATGATATTTACTAGTTTTATCTTTAAATTGAAAATTCTAGTATCACTGTCTTTGGCTAAAGTAAAATGAGAACTTAATCACACATCCGCATTCGGCTGGCCTGACCATGGTGTTAGGCGCCATCATTACCTATTATGATTAATGGGTCGTGACACATCGGATGCCCTAATCCTCAACTGATGGTAGCCAGATC